TTCAACAATTTTCAACGGTTTGCTTTTATGTGGCAAGCACAATAACCATACCGAGCTTGGTACAAATTGCTAGAACGGTTAGCGAGATAAATATGTGTGATCACAAGTGGGCGGTGCTACGCCCATTTTCAAAATTTTGTCATAAACGTATTTCTTGGTAAAGAATTGTTGCAATCATCAATTTTGAATAAATTAGCTTCAATATTTACTGATTTATCGAAGATTTTGTATTTCTCGAAATTACCGTTATATGGGATGTGGGCGTGGTTATTGTCCGATTTTAGAAATTTTCGGCCAGTTGGTATGCTGTACGAGGACCAGCAACTGTGCCAAGTTTGGAGGAAATTGGTGTAGCGGTTACCAAGATATACACATGTAACCATAAGTGGGCGTGGCTACGCCCATTTGCCAAAATTTTGTAATATTCTTATTTTTCGTCTAAAACTCATTACAAATATCAATTTTGAGTGAATTATCTTCAGTAGTTACTAAAATATCGCAGTTTTCGTTTTTCTGAAAATTACCGTTATATGGGAGGTAGACGTGGTTATTGTCCGATTTTTAAAATTTTCAGCCATTTAGTATGCTGTACTAAGGCCAACAACTGTGCCAAGTTTGGAAGAAAGTGGTGCAGCGGTTACCAAGATATACACATGTAACCATAAGTGGGCGTGGCTACGCCCATTTTCCAAAAATTTATAATATTCATGTTTTCCGTCTGTAACTCATTATAAGTATCAATTTTGAGTGAATTATCTTCAGTAGTTACTGAAATATCGCAGTTTTCGTATTTCTTAAAATTACCGTTATATGGGAGGTAGGCGTGGTTATTATCCGATTTCGCCCATTTTCAATACCATCCGTCCCACGCCCAAAAGAAGTTCACGTACCAAGTTTCGTTAAGATATCTCAATTTTTACTCGAGTTATCGTGTGCACAGACGGACGGACGGACGGACGGACGGACGGACGGACGGACGGACGGACGGACGGACAGACAGTCACCGCTTAATCGATTTCTCTTTTCATTCTGATCATTTATGTATACATTTGTCTATATCTATCTCGATTCGTTTTGCCTGTTACAAACAACCGTTATGTGAACAAAGTTATAATACCCTTGTGCACAAGTGCGCTCGGGTATAAAAATGTTAACCGTAAACATGCCTACAAATTCTCAACAAAAACAGTGAAAATTTGATGAAACTTTGTTGATTTTTTTCAATCTTTCAAGTTTGGATTTATTTGTAAGATTTTTGTTAGACAATGAGCTGCAATTTTATAAAAAAAAAAATAATTAAAATTAATTAAAAGAAAATAAAATAAATACCGGGTGGCCGTGTAATTTTGTCAAAGATGAAGACAATAATGATGAAAATTAATACACTATATTGGTCAGTTCATATTAATGAAAATAAATGACATAAAATGAGATCGCTATCGATAAAATGGAAATCCTCAATAGAAATTTTTAATTTCAACGCATGAAATTTACATATTTTTTTTTTACTTTCAACCCCTGAATTGCTCAATTACTTCTATGTCTACAGGGTTGCCATTAGGTAAATTGCATTTCCAAAGATTTTTCAAAATAAAAATTAATATATATATATGATAAGAATGTGCAATCACCATAACGCACAACACTAATATTACTGTTCACAATCACGTTTACATCCAAAATTACAATTCATAATTTCGTTTTGTAGCAATTTATGAAATATAGGTATATCCCTTTACTTAAATGTAAACGGATTAAGAATCAAAGTGCTAGAAGAGATTTAAGAGTTTGGTACAAAAAGTATTTTTGATGTTGAAATTGTATTTAAAATCGGTCAATTTTACTTTTGTATTTTTTAAAATTAATTGTACTGAAAAAAGTACAATCGTACTTAAGATATCAACACTGGTCATAGCTTCAGGAACCTGATGTTGTTGTGAGCCAAAGTGTGTCAACTGTGCTACTGGGTGCGCACCCCTGATATAGGCAAACCAGTATAAACAAACATTTAAATCAGTGATTCCCAAAGTGGTCCAGGTGGACCCCCAGGGGTCCACGGGAGAGTCGACGGGGTCTACGTTGGCGTGAAAAAAATATGGGGGTCCACGAGTTGTAACAGGGGGTCCACGAAAATTTATCGATAGTAAAGAATCAAAATGGTTGCTTGATATCCTCTTTATTTGACTTTAATTTTTTTGAGTGGTGTGTAGTTCTCTTGATGCACTGCTTCACTTACCGTCACTTTTCGTCTTCATACGTAGGAAACCCTTAAAGGCCACCTTTAGACTGGAAAGAAACGGATATTCTTATGACACTGAGTGGGGCGAGGCGAAAAATGCTGGCAGCAGATTTTTGAGCACTTGTGTATTTTCAATGCTATAGGATAGTACGCCGCCATTACCCTTGGGGAAGAGGTTCTATAATGTTGAGTTCACTGAAGCTGAATGCCGGTTTAATTCCAGCACTGTTCCCGGAGTCACACATTGTCTAATCTTCACTGATGGCTCCACAACTGACTCTGGGTCGGGATGTGATGTCTTTTTCGAAGTTAATAGGGATAAGCTTCACTTGTATCTTGGGGAATGTACCCCGGTCTTCCAGGCTGAGATATTTGCAATCCTCAAAGCCATGGACTACGTGGTGGAAAATAGGTAGAGGGGAAGGAGTTTACATATCTGAAGTGACAGCCAGGCTGTACTTAAGGCATTGGCCAGCCCTCTATCTTAGTATTTCCTAACTAGATCGGCAATGCAAGTCTCAACTTATGTTATTATTTTATGTTAGTAAACATAACGAGCTTGCTTTACTCTGGGTACCAGGTCACTCGGGAGTTGGTAATGAGATATCTAACAATTTGGCCACAACTGGCTCAAACCAGGCATTCTCATCACTTTAAAACTCGGAGTGATAAAAAATAAAAGTAAACTATTTTACGAATACGCCACATGAAAATTCATAAGTGAGCCAAACATGTGAGGAGGCTTTGCTAAAGAGAATGTAAATAACGCTAGCGCTCGGAGTTCTCTTAAAAAATATAACTCCTCAGAGCGAGAGAGCACTTTGATCGCTTTAGGAGCTCTGTTTTTTAAAACTTGTAAGTGTGTAATTACATTGTTTTAATAAAGAGAACACAAGAAAATATTTTATTTTTATTTTTGCCACTCGGAATTTACATTTGGAACTCACCCGCGATGCAAATTTACATCGTTAGATCTAGTCTTCAAATTTTTTTATGAGCTTTGGGAATTTGTTAGAAATGTAGCAGCTTGGGGTCCACCGAAATCAGTAAGGTTTTGAAAGGGGTATACGGGGGAAAAAAAGTTTGTGAACCTCTGATTTAAATAGATATATTCGTGGGTATATAAATACAATAAAAAGGTGAACACAGTTATAAGTAAATTAGCCTTCAATTATAGAGTTCGTTTTGTGTTGCAGATAAACAGTTATTTAAATGGTACACTGACCAGTTTTCTAATTAGTGAAACAATTGTAAAGTTATTGTGTTTA